CCGAGTTTTCGGTTAGTATTTTTGAGCTTTTCTTGTCATATACCATCGATTCCTTTCGTTTGGTACCTTTTCCGGCGACCGAATCTCCGATTTTTCTATATTTATCTATTTACTCCGGCGACCGTTTTTCTCGAAATTTTCCAAGGTCCAACGTCTCAATTTCGATTTGTATTTCCATATCTTCATTATATTCGTTGTGCTTGGATTACTACTCTTGCCGGAGTAGTCGTATTGAGATATTTGGGTTAGACTTGTGTGTTTCGGCACGTCTTGCCGGGCGTGCCACATGTTTGTGTTTTTGCCGGGATTTTGAGTTTGTAGGTACCTACTTATGGCAAGTGCCGGTAATCGAGTTTTGCGTTGCATACAACCAGAGTTAGTTGTGTCGAATCATGGCAAATATCGACAAGGACCTAGAGGCCCGATTTTTGAGCTTTCACGTGTACGTGTGTCTACGTCGAGTTTATGCATGCATGGTTACCATCTCTCTGAGACACACACGTATATCCTCTCTTATTTCATGTGTTCAATGCTCACTCGTTCGGATGGCTCCATTTCACGCTCGATGGCCTTCGGTTAACCTCCTCTTTTCCCTCCGGACGACCATTATTGGACACACGGTGGTGACGACCACCGTGTCGAGTACGCATTTTCTTTTCTTATTTTCTCTTTCCTTCTTTGCTTTTTGTGTGTCTTTGTGTTAGTTCGTCTCGTTTCTTTGTTTTTTGTGTTTCGTTCTCGTTTTTATCGCATGAACTTACGTGATTATGTGCCTTCTCCTATGCTTTTTGGTCAAGCAATGAGGACATTGCTTTGTTTTAAGTGTGGGGGAGGGATTTTCGTGATTATGCATGTTTAGGTGATGTTCTCTTCGTTTTTGTGCCTTATTTTTTTTGTTTTTGTCATGTCGTGGACCGGTTTTATTTGAGTTTTTGTGTGTTTGTGTCATCTCTCCCGCATGAAACTTGATGTTTGTTCGAGAGTCGAGATAGCTAAGTGGTGAGTCGAGATTATTGATTGGTTTCACTATTAGCATTCATGCTTGATGTACTTGATGAATTTGACGGTTTCCTTTAATTGATTGATGATTCGTTGACATTGGAACTCGCAAGTGGATTAACGAAATTGTTTTGTCCTTTGTTTGTTCTCGATTGGTTGTCTTGAGGCATGCTTTCCTCACGTTCGACTATCGTTGTAAATGTGTTATCTATACACTTGTGGTACATTTCGATAGAGTTGAGATGATTATGTATTGTAATTGTGATATATCCTTGTGTGCCTCTCCCTAAAAAAAAAAAGAAAAAGAGAATAAAAAGTGAGTTCGCGAGGAAGTACGAATTAGGCTCCTCTTATTCCGAGCCACACGTGGATTGGGATAATGAGCCCGGGAAACTGGTCTAGGAAACTAGGGGAAACCCCTCGAGGTTAAACCTGGATCATCTCGTCCGGAAACCTCGTTTGGAAAAAGAAGCTCACGAAATGAGGTCGTGAGAGTCGACGGGATTAGGCTCCTCTTGGCTCGGTTAATCTCCTAGATAAATCGGGTCAACGAGCACGGAAAACCGGCCTAGGCGACTCGGGGACAAACCCCGAGGTTAAACCTAGGTAATAATCGTCCTAACGGCTCTCATTTGGAAAAAGTGGCTCATTTTTTTTTTTAAACAAAAAATCCAGCGATTGCCCAGACCCCAGGTGTTTGTTATGTTTTTGTGCTTATTTTTATGTGTTTATGTGTGTTATTGAGTCGGT